ACACACACACACACACACACACACACATACACACACACACCTACCCTCACCCCGACAAACCCACACACACGTATGCATGAACGTACTCAAACACATGCACGTACTCACACACGCAAGCACACACGCACACACATACACACACACATGCACACACACATACAGAGTCTTCTCTCTGACTTCTAAACACACACATAGAGCATAATGATATATAATCAAATACAAAAAGATAATTCTATTATATATACTATTGGTCATTGATGTTGTTCTCCTTAATCTGAAAGACCATGACTACCACAGTCATTCATTATTGCTGTACAAAATGATGCCTGATCAGAGGAGGAGGGAATAAAAGTGGTCGGTGGAGGCCCCGTGTAAAAAAAATTTGTTGTATGAAAGCAAAAAAGAATGGCCAATCAACACAGCCCTAAGAAGGCTGTAAACACTCCGAAAACTAACTCTGAAGCCCCAAAAGCAACATTGCCTTGAAAAGGCAGTAAACTGTCCAAAAATATCGCTGCTGAAAGACCCACTAAATTACTTATACCAGATCTAATGACAGCTATGGTAGTAAAAGTAAAAACTCACCTCGTGTTAGAGCATTTTGGGCCACTGGAGCAGGCATTGTAGACATTGACTCTGGGTAGTCAAAGCTACCAAGCTCTTCACTTGCAAAGACTGCATCAATACAAATGAGGATGAAATAAAGGCCCAAGCAGGGTCTAGATGGAAGTAAAGTTTGCACTCCCCTCCTAGAGGTCAAAAGAGACGACGCCATCATCAGACATCAGTGTGCAACATCCCTAGTCATGTCGAACAAGTCAAACACTATGCTCTGAGGAGAAAAAAGTTCCAGTTTAACAATTAGTAAACACAAAGCTATAAAATAAACTGTTTAAACAATCAAAAAAGAGATCAATATGTCATAACAAATGTGTACCTTTTTAGCTCATTCAAAGATAATATAAACGATCGCTTTAAAAATAACAAAAACTTATCTTTGCTCCACATTAATCATTGAAGACATAAACTTCTAATGATCAAACTTACATTGCAACATGGTTTTAATTGTAGCCATTACAGTGACAGTACTAAAGTACATTTAGTAATCCCATATAAAATAAGATCTGCCCCAACAATTTCCATTTTCAAAAATCAGCTGAAGCATTTTTTATTCACAAAAGCATA